GTGCATGCTTTCCTTAAAATGTAGTTGAATTTATAATGGCAGTCAGCACCAATGATAAAAATGCATACTACTTAAGTAGGCGTTTCCTACCGCACATACTTTTTTATCGGTCAGAAAGAAGCTCGTTAAAAAGTCGGCATCCTATCGTGACTAAAATGACTTGAGAATAGGCTACGCAATAATCAGTATTAAAAACCTAATCTGTGCCGATGAGCGTGTGAGCAAAAGTCTTTCGCAAATGTCGGCATGCTGCACAAATTCTCAGTCATACCGTATATAAAGTAACTCCACTAGCACTTCCGTGAGGAGGTAAATATGGCTTGGGCAGCAAAAGGGGCATAAGCTGGGTTTAAGTACTAAAAGATGGCAACTGGTTCAAACACATAGTTTTTGCACTGTGCATCTTGTCAACCAGCTCTCTATATGCTTACAACTCATACTAGACAAACAGAAAGGACCTACACAGGAGCATGAACGTTAAAGCGTGCTTTCCAAAACTTGGTAGGGCGAACAGCCATATTTTCGAATGCTGGGAGCGATCATTCAAATCACTAGCTACCTGATAACACAACGAAGCGCAGTGTTTAGAAGCCTAGTGTTTAGAAGCACCAGCTTCGCGAACATTCCCCCGTTACAGAATTTCGCTCTTTGAAATATAAAACACAGAACGAGATTAATACGAATGCGTGTTTATAAGAGGAATTGTACAAATGACTTGCCTGCACATGTAATGTAGAATATAATCTTTCTTGCAAGAAAAGTCAATTATTCTCAGACGTTTTATCCCATTTCACTGGTCTCCTCTTGGTTGTCGAGTTCGGTCTTCTGGTGTCTACTGCTGTTGCCATCCTCTTCATTTTCTTCGTCTAAGTCTTTTTCTTTTTCTTCTTCCTCTCCTTCTTCTGCTCTATCTCCTTCTCCTTCCCCTTCTCTTTCCCCTTCTCCATCTCGTTTTCCTCTTTCTTCCTCCCGTTCTCCTTCTTGTTCTCGTTCTCCTCCCCCTTCTCCTTCCCGTTCTCCTCTTTCTCCTTCCCTTTCTCCTTCTTGCTCTCT